TATTTTATTTTTTTATTTTTATTTTTATTAAACTAATAAATTTAACAATGAAGATACAAAAAGGTAAAAAAATACACTTAATTAATTTTATATATATCTTTATTAATCATTTAACATTAAACAGCAATTGCTAACTATTATATAACTAAATAGTTATATCAATTATAATTCTCTATTTACTATCTGTTTTTCGTTATTCGTCATGCACTTTTACCATCTGCCATTTGTTATTTATTAACTATCACTTACTATTCACTACAATTATTTGTTTTCTACTATATACCACTCACCATCCATTAGATTTTAGTCGTTATACTAAATAGATTCTTAGTGGGATTCATTTTCTAATCCTTTAAAGATTGGTAGCGCCTGTATCCCTGATAACCCACTTGTATCCGTGGTGGGCCTCATTAGAAACTTCCTCAATCAGGCTGGTCCAAAATGGTGGGGTTGGCTAAGCCTATTGACTCGACCTGCACAATTCCAATTAAGGGATCCTAAAATCTAATCGTTGAAGGCTGAACCTGAAAGCCTTCCCCCTCAATCCTTATTCTAGGGCACATGAATGACCATTCTACAAATGAAATTCTCTAGCTTTTCCTAATTATGGTAACGAATTTAACCCATTAAAAAGTAGAGTTCAAAGGCACTATTGATAGGAACAATTTGCAGTACACAATACATGCTGCCTCTAAGGGACATTTTAGTGATTAAAAACTTGAATTATCATATTAGAAATATCAAATTCGAATGTTAGGATGGGTGAGGAGAGGAGAACTATCCTTTAATTTATAGCACATAATCTGATGTACCAAAAATAAAATGACTATATATATACATTCTAATTCCTAGACATCTCTCCCTAGAGGTAATGCTACCAAATGAAGGGTGTTAAGACCTAGGACAACCAATTTACAAGTATCAACAAAAATCTAACTGAGTTAAAAATTATTAATTTAAAATTTTTAATTTAAGATGAAAGTTCGGGGTTTAAACCCCGATCATGCCAAGGAACTATTTTCAATGTAAAAAAAAAAAAAAAAAATTGCATTAGTTGCTGGTTGCATATGGCATATGCATTGCCAATATAATTAAAGGGCTTAGAAGTAGCCGTCGTACTATGTCATCACAACTTACAGTCATATGTTTATTGTGTTTCATATGAAATTACAAGTTGCATGAGAAAAGATTACAAACCACATACAGAGGAAAACCAAAGACACAACCTCGTAGGTAGATATATGTATATTCCACCAGTAAATTCGAATCTTATGTTCATGGCTTGAGAATCAGAGCATCCATCCAGGGATGAATTCACTTACATTCTGGTGATGATGCCCCATGGTGTTCATTTCTTCTGTACCAATAGGATTATATCTGTGACAATGAACAAAGCAAGTTAAAACTCAGTAGAAGAAATGCAGAAAAGAATGCACTACCACTCATATCATTTAGACCACGGATGGTAGACTGGTAGTCAAAGAAAATGGCCTTTTTTTTCAACAAAATTGGCCATGGTTGTCAACAAAAACTGCTGACTTCCAACTAGTTTTACCTTTCAATATTGTTATGGCATGTAAGTTTGATGGAAGTTTTAATCAAAGTATTGAGTTTCACTTGACTTGAGTGAGTGCATTTGAAGTGGATTCTCTCAATTTATAGCTGTATCTTAGATCTTGTCAGCTTAAGTGGTGTTCTCCGCTAAAACCATCTTAGCGGAGTCGAAAACCGGGCCAACATTGGTATTTTTGTCGCGGCCCTTGAGCCAAGAAGAGAAATGAAAGGAAATATTGGTTTTTGTAGGAAGAAAGTACCCAATTTGTAATGTGGAGTTGCCTCCTAGGGGCTGGAAATACCCCTCTGATTGAGGTGGGAGACGACTGTATGGAATGTTCTGCGCCCCTCCGGCTTCCCATGCTGGTCGAAGAGGAACTTGACTGCAACTTTCCTCCAACTGATGGAAATGGATTTCATATGTAGTTAGAGAGTAATAATTGTTGACACTTAAAATTTTGCACTTGAAATGCTGACTCAATTGCAAAATTGAAAGGAATATATTGAGAAACAAAGTGAAAACAGAAAATTTTCTGTTAGCGCATTTCTTTCTTCTCAAGAAAATATACCTTCTTTCTCAGAGCTTTATTATCTTCAACCAGCTTCCGTTCCTGTAATTTCAAGAAGAATGATATATTTATTATCCAAAGAATGCAACAAAATCCGAAGAATTAATTAGGTGCATATACTGAGATAGACTTACCCTGTCTTGAACATCAGCAAGTTGATCAAGCATGCATTGAGTCTGTGAAAATAAATTAAAAAAAAAAAATGGAAATCATACTAAGATATAAATTCTATGTGGCCAAATTTAATTTTAAGATTCTGATGAGGTCGGAGTTGTTTACCCTTGTAGACCTTATTTGCTTCAAGGATGATTCCAGTTGATGCTCAAGCTGGTCAAGCTCCTTAGTGCTCAGTGGAGCCAAATCTTCTCCAAGAAGGTTTCTGCAGCATTCAACAGGTCAATTACTGCTAGGAATGGTGTCTAACATGTCATAAGAGCATGATTAAGTGACTCGTTATTACCTCTGAGATTGCTGCAGGATCTCCACTCTTGCTTTTAGCCTCAAATATTCCTGGTAACTGTTCTGCTTGATGAGGATGACAGAAAAAGGATTAAAGAATATCTTAAGATCACTATATTAGAACTAGACTCAACAAATTGGGAAAAAAAAAAAGTGCGTTATCATCTGGTCTCTATGGCTGTATAACTCATGCAGAAGTGTGTTTCACCAACATTATTAATTTGGAGGAACAAAAGAGGAGGGGAAAGCATGGGATGTACTTTGTTTCATTATCATCTGGTCTCTATGGCTGCACAGGAATGGATTGATTTTCAAGGATTCAACTGTAGAGGAAAATGGGCTCTTTGAGATGGTACAAATGAGATCATATCAGTCGGTTCGAAGCAGAACAAAATTCTGCGCTTTTTCGTTTGAAGAGTGGCAGTCGAATCCGCAGGGAATGCATCAAAGCCTTGCGACTATGACAAGATTGCTGGTGGAGAGGTTGCTTTCTGAGTTTTAATGGATGGTTTATCTTTTAATGTTTATACCTGGTTTATGTTTCTAAGTAGCCTAAACTAGGGGACAGAAGCAGTAGATGTATATCAGTTGGGAACACCCTTACACTCTAATAAAATTTTTGGCGTTCAGAAAAAAAAAAGGGAAGAAAATGACTTGTGCTGAATCTTGAGGGGATGGTCAAATTTCAGGAGAGGATTTTGATGTCTACCTGTGTCTCATGGATTGGTTGGTTGGCGTCCAGAGCACCATAGCTGCACTTATGGTACTTTTCAAGTGTTTTCGTCATGCTATATAACAAAAAACAAGATAAAATTAGAAGGAAAACAATAGTTAGGGGAAAATAGTGAAAACTTAGGAGCATAATTAAGAATTAAAATGAAAACCAAATTACAAAATATTATTACTATTCACCCAAAACCCTATGTCTATGTCTATATATGCATAAATTTGTTGGGGACACGCATGCTCCAGTCAAAATTCATTGGAGATCCAGATGAATTGGTTGGCAATTCATGCACATTTACATTTCTTTTTCATCATCAGCAGCTACAAACTAGCATGTAAATTATGCAGATCTAAGAACTGAAAGGAGAGAGAAATAGCATCTAAAGAACCCAAAGAGCTGGACCCTCTTTCCCAGCACAAAAATTACCCTATACATACACTTATAGTTGTGTTCATTAAAAACGCTCATGAATGCACACTAATTGCAAAGAAATATCACCAGTGTTTTCAGTGGCTTAAGACATAATGCACGCTTGAAGGCAATTTCGATCCTAGGTGCATTACAAAAATGTGCACTTGATCCCCAAGTTTATTAATATTGAAGGTGAAATCTCAAAATGACTTGAAAGTTAAGTGCACATTTTTTAAATTACGTACAAAAGGATATCAAGAACACGTAAGGGCACCTTTTGGTGATTTGGGGGTAAGTGTAATTTTGATTTTTATCAGCACCAGGAGAAATGTAGAAAGCAGGCTTTAGTTTGTGCACTATCATCTATTTAGCCACACTACATGTAAATATTAAAATTACCACTACTATTAAATCTATCAGACAAAACTTGTAAAGAAGAAAAAATATACGTAACAGTTAACCACACTAATTATAGACATAATCAATGAAACCAAACCTCTTCATGATTCTGCCTTGAGAATGTTGGTATATATAAGGTGCCAAATTTTATGAACAATTAAAACTCTACTTAATAGGGAATGAGAAAAATCATGATATTTTGACAATTAAAATATTAAAAATGATTATGAAAAAAATTAAAATACGTACTATAAATGAATTAACACACCAAAAATATTTATTAAGAGTATTTAAATAGTTTTATAAGAAGTTCTAACATTTAATATCATTTTGTTGTTTCTAAATTTTTATTTTGATAGTATTTTGTAACCAATATATGGTACCATATATGGTAATCAATAGATTTCTAAATATAGTATTGGTTGCCATAATTCCGTTTAGTATAATTTTGATTTTTGATTTTTAGTTTTTGTTTTTTTATATATATTTAGTAATTATAATTATATTTAGAAATTAAAATTTATTATAAAAATTAGAATTTATTAAATTTTATTTAAATATATATAGTACTAACTATTAAATATATAAAAATAAAAACAAAAAACAATACAAAGCCTAAATTTTAAAAAAATTATTAAGTATAAAATACACAATTAGGGTCACCCCTAATAATCTTTTTTCTTCTAAAAGAAAACAAAAATGCAGATTCCTATTTACAAACAATTAGAAAGTATACAGTAAAATTATGTATCAAAAAGAATATCAAGTAGCATGTATGCAAACTAAGAGACCATGTTGCCTTTAATTAAATTTAAAGTGAAAACCCTTTCTTTTTTGAGATGACTCATAAATAGTTGCAACATAAAATTTTATGAAAGATACATAAAGAATCCATTTTCAGTAATGAATTCAAATCTAGCTCTTTTTTTTCCTCAAGTCGAATCCATTTTCCTAGTACTTTAAATAGAGGGCATGGTCTTTGGCAGGGCCAAAGTTCAAACTCATACTTCAAGATTTGAAAAGAAGAAGAAGTTAATTAAATCCAAATTAATCATGAAGAGGGAGGAGTTCAGACTTAAATCAGCCAAAATAATTTCCCCTATAGGGTTTCAAGAGGTTTGCAGCACCACAAAGGGTGCCAGGCTTGCACTGCAAAAACATCACATCCCTGGCACCAAATCTTAACAGTAAATTGGTCTTTCTTGTAACTTACACTTTTGAAACTTGTTAAAGTATGATAAAACTTCTCAAAAACCTAAAAGCTTCAAATTAGCAAAGATCTTAGCATTCACCAAAAAAAAAAAGATCTAAGCTACCTTTCGAAGTCCAAGAAAAAAAATCTCTCTAAAAGCTGGTTTAGTTGTTTGAATGAAAAGAGATTTGAAGAGACTTTCTCCAAAAGAAAGAAAAAAAAAAATGGAAATCTGGTTTATGGAACTAGATGTATTTACATCCTTGATGGTATTATCCATAAGTTAAAAGACTGAGTTTAGATTGTTTTTCAATTGAGTTGAACTCTAGTATTTGAAAAGCACAACAGATCCTCAGAAAATTTTCTCATGTATATGCTTTTCATATCAAAACCCAAACCATATATAGATTCAAGAAAAATGAAAATAAAACAAAGGGAAGAAAAGGACATATCTTTGCTTATGAAAACTTGCGAGACATATATACGGTACCTCATAAAAAACACACCAAATTTTAAAAAAAAAAGGAAGAAGAAAAAGAAGAAGAGAGAGAGAGATGCTAGAGCAGTTTAAGAAGCCCAAGCTTTGAAAAATTGAAACCTAATGCAATCAATTGAAAAAGTGAAGAAGAAACAAGGAAAAAAGATTGATCTTTCCTTAAAAAAAACTCTTAACCCTAACAAAAACACAGAAAAAACCAGTCGAGTTCACCAAAGAGTACAGATCTTGAAGATGCATAAAACATGAAAGTGCTAAAAAAAACTCATAAGCTTATGAGATTGTTACACACACAGAAATTTGGGGACTTTGATACACACACACACACACATATATATATACTTATATATATGTGTGTGTGTGTGTTGGTGTGTGCGAACACTAGGAAATAATATGTATGGATGAGCAGAGAAAGGAAAGAGGAGGAAGAAAGCTATAAACAAGAAAGGATTCACAGACAGAGAGATAGAAATGGTTATACCTAGAGCTGCTGCAGAACTCATAGAGCTTTCCACGGTTAGAGAAGATGATGAGAGCAACTTCAGCATCACAGAGGACTGAGAGCTCATAGGCTTTCTTGAGCAACCCATTTCTCCTCTTGGCAAAAGTAACCTGCCTGTTAATTTTGTTCTCTATTCTCTTCAGCTCAACTCTGCCTCTCCCCATTTTTCTCTCTTTCCTAAAACACTAAGACAGATCCGAATTCCTCTCTTTCTAGTCTTGGTTAAGGGTTGGGCAGACGTTGGCCTTTTGGGACACTAAAAAGGGATAAAGAG